ACAAATAAATATAAATATATAAATAAATATAATATAATATAAATAAATAAATAAATATAATATAAATAAATAAATAAATAAATACAGATAAAGAATAAATAAATACAAATAAATAAAGATAAAGAAGAAGGACAACACATGTTTACACTCACAAACGAAGCTGCTGCTTCTGTTGCTGCTGTTGCTGCTGCTGCTGCTGCTGCTGCTGCTGCTGCTGCTGATTCTGCTGTTTCTGTTGCTGTTGCTGTTGCTGGTGATGCACTTCTGCTTTGGCATGCTACTACTGCTGCTGCTACTGCAGCAGCTGCTGCAACTGCTGCTGCAACTGCTGCTGCTGCTGCTGCAACTGCTGCTGCTGCTGCAACTGCTGCTGCTGCTGCTGCTGCTGCTGCTGGGTGTTTGCTGCAGCTGCTGCGGCAGCAAGCTGCTCTTGCTGAGGCCTCTGCTGCTACTTCTCGTCGATTGGAAGAAAACGCAAAAGAAGTTGCAAAAATAAAGGTCACAAAACATGCTGCTGCTGCTGCTGCTGCTGCTGCTGCTGCTGCTGCTGCTGCTGCTGTTGCGGCTGCTCTTGCTGCTGCTGCTGTCGCTCCTGCTGCTCTTCCTGCTGCTGCTCTTGCTGCTGCTGCTGTTGCTACTGCTACTATTGCTGTTGGTTTTGCTGCTGCTGCTGCTGTTGCTGCAAGTACTACTGCTGCTGCTGCTGTTGCTGCTGCTGCAACTGCTGCTGCTGCTGCTGCTGCTGCTGTGTTTGCTGCTGCAGAAGACAATGAGGACTCTGCTGCAGTCTGCTGCTGTCTCCACGCGCAAGACAAAGGAGACACAGCAGCAGCAGCTTCCCCCCAGCAGCACATACAGGCCCGCTCGTCTCTGCGTTGCCTGCAGCAGCAGCAGCAGCAGCAGCAGCAGCAGCAGCAGCAGGATGTTCCACGCACATGAGGGAGAAGATTCTGCTGCAGCAAGTACAGGTACACTGTGGTTGCTGCTGCTGCTGCTGCTGTTGCTGT